AAGTGACTTAAACACCGAGTTTTTACTGCATGCGTACTCTATTTCACTTTTTGCTTACTGCAGGTAATAACAGATCTACCACTGGATACTAGCTAGCACTTCCATGACAAAATACGACTGAATAGTCATACGGCAACAAACGGCCTTTTGTTTTACTTTCGTCCTTTAATGGCAAAATAAGGCTGAAACAGTATAAAAATAAATTCGTTATGCGTCAAATAATTAACGCGATAATGATTGAAAACAGTGGGTCAGCGAAATATTTTCTTATAATCCAACAGCTCCAGTAGAGTAATGTTACTTGAAAACTGCAAATGCCATTTCCTGTCAAAGTCAAAAAATGAACACCTTATACGACGCAGTGTTCTTCGATGTACGTTATAGATGATACAGTTATACTATGGTACATTTTAATTCCCATTCACTCACTCGATCGACGAAGGCAACGAATTTATCCCATCTTTTTTCTATGTCGATACTGTCATATATTGTTCAGTAAATAAATTCTCTTTCAAAGAATCTAATACAAGATTCAACATTTCATAATTTGATAATCATCCACATGACTACAACAGAAAACACTGTAAGCCAACAGACTTCTGACTTCACATCTTAAAACACTGCAGCGAAACCATCATTCGCAAAGCTAATGAAAGATGCCTGGTTTTGTTGACCACGCTTAAGAACATAAACATCAATTCACAAAAGTGACAGCTCATTAAAGACTTCTATACAAGCAACGAAAATTCATAAACTACTTTAGCTAACATACTCAAGAACAACTGTACAGCCTCTGCGCTATTGCTATCGGTAATATGTACGGCTCACGTCAAAGAGAATCTGATCATTTTAATTGGAAATGGTCACAAATTTCTGTTTATAAGATTACGGTGGGATTGAAATATAGGTCATGTAAGTAATACTTTAATGTTCAAACAGCCCCGAGCCTAAATTACTGAATTGGAATAGAAACAACATTGAATATCTGCATGTTTTGGACCGCCGTAAGGTACACGCCTAGGTTTCGAACGTATACGATTACCATTAAGCGATGAAATAACATAAACGTGATATATCGATGACTGCATAAATGCAGGGGGTGACCATAACGATGATAAAAACTGATTGGCCGGAGAAACATTTTTGTAACTAATAATAAACTCATAAACGAACAGCTTAATAAACTTCATTTCCACAAGAAATTCATACGGCTGAACAACATATAGTTAAAAACGTCATAAATTTAAATCGAAAAATAAGATGCGCACAGCAAGCAAGTATGTATGTTGACCGCATCAGATATTCGCACAAAACTGACAGTAAACACAGCGTCACAGATTATAAAAAATTTTTCCAATACATTAACTGAAAACTTTCGAACTTCCATTTAAAAAAACAGCGATAAATGGATATTACAAATACCTTGATTGATGTACTTTCGTTATATTATGCGTTAAGTTATTGACGGTGGTGCAAAAGCGCACGATTGCTCAGCCGTACAATGAACTGGCTTACTACATAAATTGCTGTCACATTCAAACGAAATGCAGACTTAATTGTTTAGTTGAATCTAATTGGTTTGCCAACATCTGCCACTGCTCTCAAAGTCGTTGTCGGTCGCTCTATCCGGATGAAAGGTCGCTCATTGTACGTCATTGTCGTCATTTTTGCCTCGTAAACCTTCGTTGTAAGATGAATAGCAAAAGTGTGCCGATTGATTGATCCCTTCCGTAACCGTATCTCCTCCAAGCAGAAAATACCGAGTAGAGTGAAATTTCAGCCTTCCAGATTCTTTGTGAGTTGTGACAGACTACTGATGTTTATTCTCACCAATCTTCCGCCAATGCACCAGATGAGCGGACTAAAATGAATAAACGATAAGTACACCAAAAGAAGCTCACTTACCATATCACTTATCAGACAAAATAAACAGTGTACCTGATGATTTACGCTTTACTGCTGCGAAGCCGGTTGAAAATAATGGGGCAGATGTCGATTGTGTGATGATGCGCCACCTCCCGTTGACGCGAAGCCAACTGGTGGGGTATAATTCATGTCCTGCGATAACATCATAGCTTCCAACTGCGAGCGTAACGATTCCTCCATGTAATAATCCTAAACAAATCAAAGGTTTAACATAAACACTCAGAAACGAATTACTGGTATCGAGTAGCCACTAAAGCTAACAAACAACAAAAACGCCCTCTGCGAGGGACCGTTACGCTAACAAGAAATTTTTTTATACAGTAGTATTTCGCAAAAGCTGTATGATTTTAATCAGAACAATTGTCACCGCAATTACCTGACTGAATTCAGCTTGAGAGAGGCCAGAGAATGGCCCAGACGCGCTCTGACTCATGTGGAACGGCTGACTCATTCCCGAAGAAATTCCTCCCTGAGTCAGCGGCCCTTGAGAAAATCCTCCGAGATAAACGTCCTGTTGGCTCACCCGATTGTTCATGTAGTCAACAGCGTATTCATTTCGAAGGTTGTGTTTTCGAGCCTGATCGTTGACGACCCATCTTGTCTTATTGCCCGCTAAATTTGAAGAAATAAAATAAAGCTGTCATACTTCATGTCTCTGATGTTAGTACATACATGAAGGCGCCTGACCGTAATACGGCGGCACAGGCGGAGGCTGTGGCATAAACATGTTCAGCGGAACTGGGATGTTCAGAGCAGAAGAAGAGTGCAGTCGTTCGGCCATCAAGAAGCTCATAGGGTCGTGTACCCCGCGATATTCCTGGCGAAAACCTTGGGTCATGCCTGAGTAAAAACAATTTAGCATAAAGTGTAACTGCACACACCTTCTCGTCAGTTACCGTTCATGATTCGGCTGCGATCGTAAGCGCTGCCCGGAATCAACGCTTCTTTAGCGCTGAACATAGCGGTGCTCATGAAACGGCCGCCCTAAAAAAACAACAAAGTAAGTTACGCCCTCTGATTTCTAAATCTGAACATCTTACTGGATTGGTTGTGTTAATCAAAGCGCGAGGCTTTGAGAATTGAATTGGACTCTCCTTTAACGCCGAGATCGGCCCTTCCACCAACACCTGCTTATCTTTGTAGAAAACTAACAGATGATGCCAGAGCTGCTGTCGAGACAACACCTTTGGATTGCCGACGATGATCAGTCCGTATCTTGATCGGGTCAAAGCAACGTTAAGTCGGCGTGGATCGTTCAGAAAACCGATGCCCTGGTGTTCGTTCGAACGCACGCATGAGAGCAAGATGACATCTTTTTCCCTGCCCTAAAACCTGGATCGAAATATTACAGAATAAAACGTGAAATTGAAAAAACCTGGAACGCGTCCACACTGGCCACCTCGATTTCCTGATACAGCTTTGAGTTCAACGCCCCTTGGTACTGCATGTACTGAACAATGTATGCTCTCTGGCCTTCATACGGTGTTATGATGCCGATTTGCTCCGGTCGAACACCGCAACGTAGAAACCTAGTTGCAAGTTTCTCGATGTTCGATGCTTCTGTACGATTCAAATAAGACGTTCCGGAGCTAGCGATTTCCTCTTGACCGGTGGTACTCCAGAAAAACATAGGTTTGTCCGGTTGTGGCCAAGGGAAGTCCAACCCATTCAAAGTACGCTCGGCTAAAATCGGCAGCTTTAAGCAGAACATTGGAAGCTGATTTTATATTTTTGTAGATATTACTTTATCTTCGCTGGAAACTGAAACCAAAAAACGCTTCACAGTATGTACTACAAGATGTGACCAGTGACCAATAAGTTTGTGATTAAATGAATATCGATAGAAACATCAGGAAGAAACACCATAATATACAGCAATTCGATTAGGAGGTCAAATATCGAAGTAGAAAATGAAACGAGGCGTTTGAGTAACCTTCATTTGTCATTTACCAGAGACAAATCGACCAAGAAAACTAGGCCACGCATGAACCGAAATCAAGACACATCGTAATAATTTAAGATTTATTAACTCGCCACACGTTCTGAACTGATTCCCGCTGCTCAAAGAACTAGAACACTAAAGAAAGTGGAGGATCCGTTTGGCTTCGAATATGCAGCAAAGATACGTCAAAGTGCCACTGTTTAATTAAACTATCACTCATAAAAGTCAAATTGCTTTAGAATCATTCGAAATCTAATCGATTCATTCACGTAATTATAAGATGGTAACGACCCAACTACCAAAATGCAAGATGAGTACACTGCTGCGAGGTCTGTTCGCCTAAAACAGTCTGCCAAGAAGGTATAACTACTACGACGCTAACATCAATTCTCGACTAAGTTCGGCTTTATTAAACCAAACTTGCCATGTCAGTATTTACAAAAGAACTCTACTGAAAACAAAATAGGGTTCGATGGTTGAACGTGAGTAACCTGAAATCTGATAACAGTATCAGAGAAGCATGTGGGTTTGACGGTCAGGAACAAGCAGCATATCAATAACATATTTTAGAGCAAAAAGGTAGGAAAACTTGACAAGTCACAGTGTTCAGACGGATTGAACTCCAGAGACATTTTATGTACAATTTGCTGAAGTTTTGGAAGGCAATGGATTCATTCTCGGAGAACATAACTGAGGGACTGAATTTTTGCTAATTCATGTAATGTCAACAGAAAAATTTTATTGTGAACCTTCAACACAGCTGAACTCAGAGGAAGACGGCACAGCGTTGCTGTTTGTCTGTCTGTTGAGATCATCACTTTTAGCCGTTTTCAGAAGTAGAAAGTCTCTTATTTAGATTGTCCGTTGCACTGACAGTCTTAAAACACATTTGCTATAGGATACCTGTTACCGCGTCGTACAATGAAATATTCCACTCTGAAAGCAGATTTGCCTCTACTTTGCCCCCCACTCCCCCATGTTGCATGCTGGCGTTCTGGTGGACGTCTGTCATATTTCGGCTTCCAGTGAGAAGAAAAAATGTTGTATGCTCCACTAGTTTGTCTAAATCCCCTTTTCTTAATCCATATCTACTGAGATAACGTGTACACAGAAAAAAATAGTCATTCCTTATATAGTCCCGTCAAATAACCATGATTAGGTTGAATGTTGCTATATGCAGTTCAACCGTATTGACTGATCCTTCGTTAGAAGAGCTGTCTCCATGCCATATAACAACACTGACTAGAGCGAGGTAAGGAAGAGAGAAATTTTCGTGGGCGCAGTTAACTCACTTCTCAACCCAAATTGCAAAAAATAAGAAGAAATTCTGCGAGTTATAAAAGCCGCTATCGCAATGCAAAGGCAGTTTGAACAGAAAAACAATCAAGGTTAACAGATTTATGGCTTCCAGTATTATCCTAAAGAAAGAGCGAAATACTGTATCTAAACTTATTAAAACCTTTGGTGCGCCTCAACCGCAGAAAAAATGGAAATCTGATAAGTTTTACGGCCAACTGATAACCTTAATAAACTCTTAGCAATTTTAATTCATTACCTTCGGTCACACCGTTCTGCAAACTACCTTCGTAGAAAACGTTGCTCGGAAAAGCAGAAAGTGCCGGATGCATTCGATACTGCACCTGCAGGCGAATGGGTCGCACGCCCAGCACTACCAGACGTTCGAACAGAGACTGGCTCAGTCCAGCACGTCCTGCTTTTTTGCACATCACCACCGGACCGAGCTGACAATGGTCGCCGACTAGTATCAACTAAAACTACACGTTTACATAAATCATAACAAAACATAAGTTTCAAATGTTTGACTAGCAAACTGGGACTGCATCAGAAAAGAATTTATCATACTTGTCAGTTAGATTACAAGGAACAATCGATACAACGATTACCGTATGATATTCTTCAGTTTAGCCACAGTCGAAAATCCAGTGTTTAAGCAAAACTCTAGCCAAAGATCTTCACTGACTATCGACCGTTTTGTGTCACTCTTGACTAACACAACCGCTTCAACATAGGACAACCCCAAATTTGTGAAGTCTGACCGCTAGAAATGACTTTTTAGACTGACACCAGGCAACA